GTTATTCATCCTTACTGGAAGCTGAAACTTGGTGGGTTTTAGGTCTACATGACTGTTTAAAGTGAGTGTTCGTTTTGCCCTTCAGGATGCTATAGAAAACAAACTCGATTCAAAAGACTGGCCTTATTGTTCCCAATGTCCTCCTACCTGGAATGGTTCCGGAGCAGTAAGGTAAATGGTTTAATTTCCTGAAACATAATCTACCCATTTCCCAGTGTTTTTGTCATGTGCATTCCAAAGCACTATAAAAGTGCACTTACTAAGCGGTGAAATAATGTATATAAGGTAACATTAGTGTGTAAACCCTGTATTTTTATTTCATCTAAAACATACTGAACTTAGTTTAAGAACTCTTCTTAGCCGACTGCAGCTTTTTATTTGGAGTTTCTCCCCTTTGCTTCAAAATTACAAAAAACATTTCCATTTTCCCTGAATGAGAAGTTTAAACCATTGAGCTTTCTAGTGTGAAGTAGTTTCAGGAATGGATTATCAGTGTGCCGTGGCTTTAGCAAAAAGAATGTTTTCATTTCTTCTGAAAGTTACTTCTGCTGTGGTAGTGGTGGTGTCATTCTTGAAGTTAATGACTTCATTAAGTTAAAGACAACTTCTGTAGGCTCTCTCATTAGGAAATACAGGCCTGTTAGACATTTGACCCCTGTTGTTAGGGGTTGGTTTAGAGAAGTTCAGAAAAGTTGGAGGTCTTGAAATGAATTGTCTGCTAATGAATGATAAATGGTGTGCTTGGTAGAAGTTCTTTGTGTGTGAACTATGTGTGCCACAAGGTTTTTGTTTTGTATTTATTTTCCCTCATGTGATAACTGCATAGTTCGAGTAGTATGCTAACTTGATTTTGTTAAAATGGTTTTAATTATTGATTTGTCTAAACTCTTCTGCTGAAATTATAATCAAAACATGAACTACATGACAGAAATTGTTACTGCTTAAGTGTATCATTTGTACCAAAATTAATCAGTAAAGCTATATAAACGTCGTCATCTGAAATATTTTACAGTGCGCGCCAGAAACCTAAAGCTAGTTATAAAGATGAGCAGAAAAGTAGTGCAAGACTGATTATGTTTGTGATTGGAGGAATTACATATTCTGAGATGCGCAGTGCCTATGAAGTTTCTCAAGCCTACAAGTCCTGTGAAGTTTTTATTGGTAAGCTTGTCTTGGGAGAAGGGTGGTGTGTAAAAGTTTACTACCCATGCTTGTGGAAAATGTAAGGATCTTTTTTTCTTACAGTGCTTCAATTGGTTCAGTGAACTAATACTATAGCCAGAGTATTTCTTAAAATTTTGCACTTAATATCTTTTCAGTTTACCTAGATTGCTTGATATTTGGGGTTTATTTGCAACAAGGTATTAAAGACAATAAATACAGTTATGCTCTACAGAAGAATCATCGTTAATTATGTCAGAGAAATATATTATTGAAGTAGCCTGATGCATAGCAAAAAGGATTTAAACAGACCTGTATTTCTTTGCATTGCAGTTTCCTCACAAACATTTGCATCTGCCTGTCCTTCACCTTCAGCTACACTTACTACTCTCATTGCTTCTGGTATTAGTAGGAAAGCTGGCGGACTAGTACAAAATGACTCACTTGGGGAGGAAGGGAAGACAAGTATTAAAAAAAAAAAAAAAAAAAAAAAGGACAGGAAAGAAAAAAAAAAAAACAACAAACAAAGCCCCCCAAACGAATGAAAAAACCAAAACCCTAACAAACCAACACAACCCAGAAAAACTTTTCCAGTGTAGCTTAGTTGACTTTGCCACATCTTCTAGTTCTTATCATGGGTTCTTCAGAGACTTTACACAAACCACACCATGATTTATAGCTTTTGCCCTGAAAACTGAAGTTATCTCCCTAATCTTCTTAAGATTCAGCAGTAAATGCAGGAATTGCTGGCTGGGATACTAATATCTCAGTTAATACCTCAGAGGCAACAAATGCCTGTTCCATCAGCTGCTGTGCTTCAAATAATTATTTCCTGTTGTGCTGTTTAAATTTGGACAATAACATTTGCATATATGACATAGCAAACCAGACCTCCTAGATAGAGAGCCTTACTAGAGACCTGTATCCATCTGCAGTTGCAGCTGGTGGCTGGGTGCAGGCTCATCTAAATCATTCTAAATGTCTTGAGATGCCTATGTCTGCCAATTAAATTTAGTCTTGAGTTTCAGAAAGGAATGAATCTGTCTGCTGTAATCTTAAATAAATACTTTTCCCTGAAGCAATGACATAGATTCTGAGCTCTAGTCTGTTACCACAAAATAGTGGGTATATTATAGGGGGTATGTGTGTGTGGTTGGGGTTTGTTTTGATTTATTTTTTGTTTGCTGTTTTCATTGGTGGTGAATGAGGTAGGTTTAATGCTGATCCTAGCATTGAGTTGCAATGGAAAGACCAGGACAACAGGAATGTAGTTGAACAGGACTGTTTCTTCATCTGAGACTTGTTTACAAAACCATGTTTAGGGCAGATCATGCTCTCAGTGTATCTGGTACAACCACAGTGACATCTTCCCTCTTGTTTAGAGAGGATTTTTGTAGTTTCATTAGTAATCCTGATTTATTAAACACTTAAGAGCTTCTTTTATAGCTGCAGGGTGGCCCTTCATGGCAGAAGCTATAATCACTCTCTATGAGAACAAGAGAGGTAGTTCTGTACTGCTGAAGAATAATAAGGATTTTCTTATTGCTCCAGACTTGCAGCTTATTGCAGACTTTTCAAGGAAATGTTAGTCAGTAAAAGCCAGTGTTTTGTAACTGATATTTCTGTGGAAAACTACTGTTTGTGATAATCTTTCATCCAGATGGTTTCTTGAGTCTAAAATAAAGCTTGTCATTAACTTACCCTTTCACAGAATGGACAGATTTTGTGCAGGCTGGGACAACTGCACACAGTGAAGGTGGCCCAGGTTCAGGCCTGTGTTTCAAACCGGGCAGAGCAGGGCCTTGAAACTTTTATCCAAAGTAAGAGTTCTAATCTGGACATCTGGATGCCTCAGTGTGAGGAAGAGGGACACTGCCTACCTAATGGTGACACTTACAATTATATGATGACACTTTCTATGATAACCCATGAAAACCCTTTAAACTGTTTTACTTCTCTGTTTTCCTGGTACAGTAAAAAAACCTGGCATGTAAATGACTTTTTTCTTTTTTTTTTTTAAACATGGAATGCCTGAAAGTCAGAATTTTAGACTGATACAGTTGCTGATATTCTTTTTTCAGGTTCTACTCATATTTTGACACCTAAAAGACTACTGGATGAAGTGAAGAGCCTTAGTAAACCGAAGGATATGGTCTGCGTTAAGGATGAATAGAAATGGTGATGTTTATGATGCATTAGAAAAAGACAAATAGTATGTACATGTTCTTATGGAATGGACTTTTCTAAATAATGTACCAGGACGCTACATGGTTTAAACTAATGGAATGTCATTTTACAATTTAAATTTGCTGCTTTTTTGGGGGAGTAGAAGGCAGAGAGGAAAAAATCAACATGTGTGTTTCTTAGGTTGTATTTAGTATAGACAGTGTTATACTGTACGTGATTTTTCAAAAGGGCATGTTTGTTCCTAACAAACTATGGTAAAAGATATTGTGATTATATATAAACTGGAATTGTCTTTGAGAACTGTGAAACCTTTCTATAATAGAGTTTATTTCTAAAAATGAGTGGATTAAAAAGGGTGTAGGTTCTTAGGTAGAGGCTTCAGAAGAAAATTTGTAAATATGACTTTATGGTGAAAATATTTCACACAGATGCAGTGTCTTAAACAGTAATATTTTCTGTAAAATAATTTACTGAAAATTCTTTAAATATATGTAATTGTGAAAAAGCAAAAGATTTTTTTTTTTTTTTAGGTGGAGGTGGGTAAGGTAGAAAATGCATCACGGAATTACTAAGCAGTTCTAATTTGAATAAATAACTTTGGAGAAATTCTGCAACTGTGCACTGAAGTACACTTTATATTTAAGCAGATACAGGGATTATTACTAAAGCTTTTCAAAAAAACTTTCTTACAAACCTCCTTATGACTGTGTCTACCTAGTCTATCTGTTTTAGAAGTTGAATTGCCTATGATGTAGAAGTTCCAAAATTGTAAGCATAAATTTTGTTTTTTGAGCGAGCGGTGGGCAGGGAACAAGCAGAGGAAAAGAAGGGAAGCAGTTAAGTCTTTCAAATGGCTTGATAATTTAAAGAAGAAAGGCAGAGAGCAAACCAAACACCAGAACTTGATGCATTCAAGGCAACTTACTATTATCTTCTACTTTGTTGCACACTAAGAAAGCAATACATAAATTTCTGATAAGGGGATAAGATAAATTCTAAATTGCATTAATTTTGTAATATTGGTCATGTTTAGATTTGTCTTTAAAAACTACTTAATTAATTAAAACTTAATTAAAACTAATTAAAATTACTAATGCTTTAAAGGGATGTTGTATCTATGTGACTTGAAATGTTTGCTATATTTTAAAATGTTTCAGGACATGGGGCATGATGAGGGTAAGTGGCTGTAGCTTTCAAATGCACATACATGAGTTAAGCATCTAACGTAGTCTGACTTTATTTTCAGTAGCAATACAGGAACACCACCTTTATTAATTAACTGGTTCATCAAACATCATGTGCATCAAAACTTTTAACAAAATTCTTTAGCAGAAATACCTATGAAGTTTTTCTGAAATCTAGTTTCTAACTATAAATAATCACAGTAAAAATCCAGAGTAAAAGTATATATTTTAAGAAAATGTTGAACAATGCATTTATTAAGATGCACACTTTGAAATCAGTATTCAACAGTCATGCTTAAATTATATATAGCCCTTATACTTTGGCAGGAAGAGCCCAAGTTCGGTGTAAAAGTTGTCATATGTAATTGCAATTTTTTTCCTATTCCCAAAACTTAAAAGCAGTAAATATAAAACAAAATAACTGATAACACTGTCCTTCTTAAGGACTGAAATAATTGATTTCAGTAGTATGTAAAATCCATTGTGTTGATGTTTATTTGTTGCATAGAGCTGAAGAAATACCAGCTTGAAATGCTGGATTACTTCTGCATATTCAGCATTTAAGCCTAAAGCAGACACCTGAAAAAAGTTTTAAGTGCAATCATCGGCTCAAAATTTGATAGCTGATAAATACAAGACTGACTTCTGAGTTTTGTAATCCATCACCCATTTTTTCCAGAAGGCAAAGCCAAATGTTACCATAGAGTTGGATTAGTAGAGGTGCTTTAAGAGAAGAAAACTGACAGCAATATGTAGCCCAAAACAGCTCCTGGTTTCTTACAGAAGCTTGGGAAGGGGGGAGGGTGATAGGATGGGGTAGTGTTGTACTTTTTGTAAAGATGTCTGGGTTTTTTTTTTCCAAGGGTCTTCCTGGACACTTTTTTTCTAGATCAAGATCAAGAATGGGTAAGAGTTGTTTTAAGATAAACGTCTCTTCCCTGCTCCCCCAATATTTTAAAGTGTATATACAAAGCACATTATAATTTTGAAAGTTCCTGTTTTCATATTCTACTTCTTGAAATAGATACTTAGCCTGTACATGTGGGCTCAGATTCACATAAGCACAGATTTTGGTCTGACTACCCTAGATAATAAAGATAGATATTTCTAAGTGCAGTTTATTTCTTAAGTTGATTCTGGAAATCTGGACAAGATTCAGAGATGACTAAGAGGAAAATCTAAGGTATGGAACAATTTTCATGTCCAGAATGCCTAGAATAAGTTCCTTGATCAAGAGGGAAAAAAGGTGGTGGAGGAGTATGTGATGGAAGCCTTTAAAAAATAATGTTAGTGTGCAGACTGAAAAGACAGACATGTTACCTTCCTATTCAGTGTGTGAAGTAACATGTGAAACCTGCAATTGTCAAATTCAAAACAAAAGGACCTTTAGCATCTGAGATACTGCAGTAATGACATGCTTTAAATTATGACATGAGGGTGGAAAAGCTCTAGGTACTTGAGAAAAATCTTTATAGGGCTATTAGTGCTGATACAGGGATGTTACTGCTGATTTGGAAAGACTCTAAGCTTTCAGTTTGCTAGAGAATGTTCTGAGGAAATGTCACTACATGCTTGTCTTAGTAAATATATTCTTTATTAGGCATTTGCTGTCAGGCCCAGGACAGCAGGTTCGAACAGTGACCCAGGATGACCAAAAGGTCTAGCTGTTCTCCTGGTGTGGAAAGATTTCTATGGAAGAGATTAATCTTTTTTTATTGGATCTAGGAAGCCTACAGCAATTAGTTTTAACTATTAAATTAATTTGCAAAGTAATAACAGGGACATTCCAAACATTAATCTAGTACAGGGGAGTGAGCATTTCATTATCCTGTGCTGTTGTCTTAAGCTAAATAAAGCAAAACCATGGATAATAAGCAGAGGCAAATCACGTTATAAGGATATACGCTAAGAGCCTAATGGAGAAAATAATAGTTGATGGTATTGTTGGCTGTGAAGTGTGGAAGAAGCTCTGAAAAAAAGCCATTGACTCAGGCTAGTAAATCAGTGGTACACAGCAGCAAGTTAAGCTATCACTGCTTGCATGAACAGAGCCTGGATTATCTCTGTATCCATCAACTGCTAAAACCACTCAGGTTTGCCTGAAAATGACTGTCCTTCTAAAGCAATGCACTGTCACTTCTAACTTGACTTCCATTAGTCGCTATGTGCTTTGGAATTGCTTCAGTGAATCCCTGATACTACAAGGCTACTAACCACTTGTTTTTAATCACTGCAGTTAAATGAATTTCAGAAAGAAAACAATAGATTACTTTACTTGGCCCACTGCATTTCTGCAGTATTTGAAAATTTTCCAGCCTACTTACCATCAGCTAAAATCTTAAAGCCAGATACCTCTGACAAGGTAGGGACACCACAGTGAAGAAACAGACAATTTGTTAGGACTACATAGACAACAGATGGTATTACTCAGTTACTGAGACATGCAAGGAAGTATCTTAATACCAAACAACTCAATGTAGGGCACTCTAAACACAAAATGATTACAAATGTTAACTATGACCTGGTGTGTTAGCATGACACTTGGAGATGTCTCAGGTGCAGATGCTGTTTCCCTTGGGTGTGCTTAAGCAGCTGGTGTTAAGGTGTGGGAAGGAAATACATGTAGGAGTGACTGAAACTTATTCTATTTGGAAGAAGGGGGAAATCAAAAGTCAGAAAGTTAACCCGGCTTGTTTAAGCCAATTTTTTATTAAGCTGTCTTAAGTAAATGCTTAGAGAAGGTAGCTATACACAGTAATGGGGGTTAGCCAACATACTAGACTTACAGTAGAATTAGTAATTTGTTTTCCAGTTCTGAGGCTGAGTGTAAACATGTGGAATACCAATATGCTCTGCTTTGGCTTAGTACTGGTAGTTACAGAACAGCTGGCACAGTCAGCTAGCTGACTTCCTGATCTTTGTATTTATCACTATATCTGCAGAGATACTGACACTTCAGTATCAACCAGCAAAACAATATAGCATTTGAAACTGGGTAATTAAAGTTGTCTTCTTTTAACTTTAGCTAGATCATCTGAAACTGCTCGTACCATTCGTTCTGTAGCTTTCTTCAAATTGTTCGCTGTCTCTATGGCATGATCCAGAGTAGAATTTAAAATCTGTTGGGAATAATAACATAGAGCCTTGTTAATACTGAAGGCAACTGTTTACGTAGGTATAGAATAGCAAGTGATGTTTAATTAAGGTCCTGTGTAGCATTTTCACTCTGAATACATGTTGAGAAGTAAAAATTTGGAGTCATGTGACAGACTGCTCCAAGATTCAAGTCGGAAGTATCCGTTATTTATTTCTCTCTTCAAGTATGTAATCTTTTGAACTGTGGGATATTTATGCCTTTCTAAAGTAGCAGCCCCAGTGTGGTATATGGTTGTAGTATTCAGAAGGTTTTATTCTGGTTTTCATAGTGATTTGTAAGGCTAGGGTGACATTCTTCATCTCACCGTATGAAACATAATTCCAGAGGTAAGATCCAGTGCTTCTTTTCTGTACCTTTCACCATTTATACAGGGACCAAGTTGCATAAAAAGTCTAATGCACTCATATGAAGTAATATACTAATATATAACATAAAATACTTGGGTTTTTTAACTCCCCCCTGTCTTACCCTCAAATGGACTAGACATGCTTAGATTGTAATAATCTACTTGCTAAGAATGGAATGTTCAACAGTGCCATGACATGGGGATGTATGCTTCCCGAGATAGTTGTGTGGCTGTTAATTTTCACTCTGAAGTCTTACATTTGCATTGGAGTCACAGGCGTTTCTGTTTCTGATGTTGATTGCAGATTTGCTTTGGGCACACTTCTTGCTGGGTAAGTACTGATGTGAAATGATAATTTTATCATATGGGTTTGAATAGCAGGTTTTGGCAGGCTCAGAGTTTTGCCTAAAAATAAGATGGATAGAATAAAACATAATTTTAGTAAGGAAAATAATTTCTAAGCTATGAATTAAATATATATGCCTTGATAGCATGCTCAGTTGCAAGTTAATTTTACAGTGAGTAGAATTTTTCATTTAATTGTAAAACTAAGTCCATCATGATTTGTGTTACATCTGTATTGTAGTAAGCCAGAAAACATTCCAGAATGCAGAGTTAGGAAATCTCTTATAATAGCATCACATTCTTGGTGCTGTAACTTTCTCTCATAGAGTGGTCTATATGCTATTGATTCTCAAGGGCAGCTACTGTACCTTCAGGCAATTACCGCTATTGAGTAATGCTGTCAGAAAATATAGTAACAAAACTTGTCTGAGTTTGTCTAGTCTGTGCTACACTTAAGAATCCACGTTACTTCTCAGACTCCCAGTGTAATTTAATGTTAACAAGTTAGAAGTAGGACTGTTACTTATAAATAAATAGTTGCTAGCAAGCAGAATTTCACTGTAAATAATACAGACCTGCTTTTGATTCTGTGAATGGGAACATGCTTTTAGTAAAGTGAGATGATTTTTTCTTTTTTTTTTTTTTGTGTCAGCTAAAGAAGTCAGATGTTCACTCTTCATTAAGTAAGATTGAAGAACTACTCTAAGAATTATTTGCACTTGCTCTTAGGGTAAATATTTTAACTTTACTAATGAGTAAAACTCTAATATACAGCACGCACTGCAAAAGAGAAAACATTCCTCCTGCTTATGGTATTGTTTTTTTCCGTGCTGAATCTTCAACAACGGCATTTTCTGTTGTACTACATATCATTATTGCTACAGCTTACCTTTCAGAAAGTCTTTTCACAAGTTCACGTGGCTGTTTATTTTTTTGAGTGGAGACTCTCTTTTGTGAATAAGCTGCAGTTATTGAGGCCATGTTTAAAACGAAAGCAAAAAAAAAGGGCATTTTTAAATGTATTTAATACTTTTCTCTATTTAGGGTAAATTAAAAAAACACAAGTAACTGCTGAATAAAACATGAATATGTGTAAGGTTTTTTTTTGGTAAATGAGGACAGATTAATCTTTTTGGATTTGCTGTTGAACTTAGTTCTGTGGCAACTAGCATGCAGATTTATATTCCTTTTCAGTGCAGTGAAAGACTGCGGGGGCAAAAGGTAGAATAATCAGACTCTCATCATGCTAATAGTTACATGAATAATACTTTGATTTATAGCTTCACAGTATTTATATAGAGAAGTAGCACATTTATTCTTTCTTCCCACTGTTGAAAATTTATATTTCTCTGGATGTAATTTCTTCCTACAGTAGAGAGAGGAGTCTGAGATCAGTGACTTAAAAAGCCAGATGTTCAGCACTGTACTTTTTTTTAAATTAGGTTTGCCTTGACTACTTTGCCTGCCACACAATTTGAGTATAGAGCTGGAATTTTCTCTATTACTTGTTTATACTACATTGGGTAACAGCTAGCACTTAAAAAGCTGGCACAGTAATGTCCAGTTTTAGTATTCTTCCATGTAGCACTGCAAAATGAGGCATTTCTGTCATAAATGAAATACAGAAGGGACTCCTCGTAAAGAACCAGAGAAGGTTATAGCTGTCGTGCATGGCCAGGTGTGTAAAAGTTGGATTTGCCAATCTTGCTGTACAAGATCTGTACACATCCACTGTTGATTGCTTATACTAAATTAAATTTGGCCTCACGTGCAGTGCGGCTTTCTTCCCCTTAAAATCTAGCCTGTGATTGGTACTTATTTCATTAACACATACTTACAGGATGAACTAGAACTTTGATTCCTACACAGGGCACAAGACTGAACAGACTCTTTGTTTTTCCTGAGTATACATTTACATCCTCTACAGCATCTGCATCTAAGTCCTGAAAACAAAGACATGTTGTTTAGAAAAACTAACACAATAAACAAAATATCTGTGTTATTTTAATGTTGTTTGCAATCATTATACCTTTCCTCTCTCCATGTAATCTTGTATTGAATGCTTTGTAACTTTCAGTCTCGCAGTTCACAAGTTCCTTGCTTCGTGAATCATCATAAGAATCATAGGCTGACAGATCTTCTGAGTCGCTGCCTAAAATCCCAAAAATATGTTAAAAAGGTATCAGAGGTAAGATCTGGCCTGTGTACCTAGGTAATTATTTAGTTTTCAGCACCATAATTTGAGCCCTTTGCTGCTATTAACACTGCTGCAATCTGAAGAAGTGCTTTTTCTTCCATTTTACAGGGGAGGATTGAATTTAAAGACTGGCTTTCAGCCCTGACTGTAAGCTCTTCATCTCCCTGTCCTTAGGTTCTTGTTTTGAAGGTTAAAATTCCTACGAGTTCAAGTGTTATGAAAGCAATGTAGCTTAAGAGCAATGTGACAAGAGAATTTGGGAAGATCTGGTACGGCACTGCTTTAGCTATTGCATAAACCAGTACTACCAATAATGGTCCCAGTGTATTATATTAAAGTGAAAGGATATCGCAGAGAAGCCAAGGAAAAAAGGTAGACCAAAGGTAAGAATAACCTACCTATTCAGACTTAAAACTGAATCTAAGGCATCTCATGTTATTATTTTAGTTGTTGGGTACCAGCAACTTGAGTATTCTGCAGTGGAAAGGTAAAATTGGGATGCCCTAAGAAATATAGATGCTAATGGATTCTTAGTGAACTTCCACGAGCTGGAGTCTTGGATGACCTGACATCTGATTTCACTAGCTCACAGGAGCCTGGGTGGGCTCTAGTTTGCATTTGGTGAAATTATATTATTAGGAGCTGGACTAAGGAGAGAGAATATTTCCAGTCTGTGTCAACCCTGAATGGATCAAAGATTTAGAAAACCTTTTTTTCTTTTGTTTTCATGCAGAATAAGGAAGTTGAATCCAAAAACTAAAAGTGGAAGTACTGATATGAAATGTTTCAGTCACCAAGTTTAGAGTCTCCAGCTAGGATATGAAATAAATAGACATGATAAGGAGAAAAGGCAAAATCAAAGCATGGTGTGCACACCACTGTTATGCTTTTGAAAGTAGTAGTAGTAGTAGTAATATTTGTAAACATCTCTAAAAAGGTGAATTAGAAATGTAGAGTAATTCAGGTTGGATAGGACTTCAGGAGATCATTTGGCCCAATCCTCTCTCAAAGCAGGACCAACTTAGATGAAGTTGCTTAGACCCTGGCCAGCTGAGTTTTGAATATCTCCGAGGATGGAGAGGCCACAGCCGTTCTAGGGCAAACAGATTCAACGTTTGTCTATACTTTGAGTTAAAACGCTTTTGCTCGTATCTAACTAGAAATTCTGTTGCCTCTTGGTCTGTCACTGAGAATTCCACAGTGAATTTGATTTTGTGTCCTCTTTAGTCTCCTTATGCTTAGTGTCTTGTGCTGTACTAAGCAGTAACATCTGTTAAAATTACAAAACCGTTTTTATGCTGCTGAGATGTGACAGGAATGTATTTCTTAACAGGATTCAATAGTAGATATAAGCACAGTTCTGACCTTTATGTGCCATCACTACTTACTCTGGTTGGTATCTGATAAAACAGCTGGTTTTCTCTGAGTGAAGAGTGAGCATGTGTCAGTTTTCCTTTCCTGGATGCTTGCATTTCTTTGAACATGAAAACAGAATGGTGTATCAATTGTATCTTAATAACTTTATGATGAGCCTTATGAGTATATTAAGTTTGACGGCTTGGATGAGGAAAAATCAGATTTACTCATAGAAAGAACCCTGCCTGTATCAGTTACCTGAAAAGGTGGTAAGTATAAGCTTAAACTAAAAAATAGCCAATTGTGAAATGATGACCCTTTTAGCTGAAGGACACATTCTAACAAAAGAGGACCCTGACTTATCAGAGCTGTTGAAAATGCTTAGAAGTAGAGGTCTTGATAATCACATCTTTGAATAGCAAAGTAGTATGAGATCCTGTATTAAATTCTATATATCCTATATATAAATATATATGTGTCCACATATGCTGCTTCAAAATATTATCAGTGGTAAGGATGATATGGTTTCTTAGTAACTTTGATTTATTAAGGCTTTAATGTTACAGCCTTTAGATAATTAGAGGAATATTGGACATGTACCTTCTGACAGAGCAAGAACAAAGTTCCTTGTCTCCGTGTTTTGACATATATTTTCAACTTAGGGCATGCTGTATCATCAAATTTATTTGGAAAATTTTCTACCCACTCATGAAAACAAAGATCAGAAGATTCAGCCTTCTTCAAATCACAGAGAAAAAGAAAATGGAAGTTAGGTGAGTTTTACTAGATAAATATTAACATCTACTCTGTTAAATAATCTGAGAGCATATTTAGATGAATATTATTGTGTTCTACATGGCATGTATTATAAGAACTAGCTTTGGACAGAGATTTAATTTTCAAAAATTTCAAACTCCAAAATAACCCATGTAGAATTATTTTATCATGCTGATATTTCTGTAAATGAAACTCTACAGATTGACCCTTACACTTAAAATATATGCAGATGTAACAGTATGCTTTCCTTCCAGGCCTACCAGATTAGTTCATGACAATGATAATTTAAAATATTTTTAATTGCTGAACACTGCTATCATCCCAATTTGGGATGCTGACATGCATTGCTGAATAGAGAACAAAGACAAAGCCTTTTCTCTTAATACACTATTAAAATAACTCTGTGCCACTTAAGCACCAGAAGCCTTATACTGGTCCACTGAGATGGGCTACTTCTGTAATTATAATGCTCTCTTCAACAAAATAGATGGGAGTTTTGCCATTTCTCCAGTCATCTGGTATATCGCCCACTTCTGATTAACTGGTGATAAACTTGAAAACAGATCCTCCTCTCATTTATATATATTAAAGACATTATTCAGTGTTTCATGCAGAGTCCAGTATAGAGACAGATCGATGTACATGCATGTATTTGTTCACCTAGCTGTAGAAAACCATGTATGTGACTAGCCAAAGTATGTAACACACTTACCCTTTCATAATTTCTTCATCAGCATTGTATTTTTGACTTAATGTACCCTGACTATGGGATGCAAGACCTTCAGCAGCATATTTTTCCTCAGGCGAAAGGAATCTCTGTTGCACCCAGAAGGCAAAACAAATTTATATATGATTGTTTATATTACTGGGTATCTGTATGACATGTCAAACAGGATACTGTAAACAGTGGCATAATTTGCACATCACTTCTATATTGCTTTCAGTTGCCATGAACTCTACAATTTGATTTATCTATTTACAATTCTAACCAGAGCAGACTGAACAAAATAGAAACGCTTTTTTTTTTGTCAGTGAAGTTGGAATTCAAGACAGGTTTCATATTCCTTTGAGAAGGATTAGTATATATTAATTAATTTATCTCAATGCCTTAAAATGAAATATTTTTGTAGGCAAGCAATTGCTTGTAGGCTTTTGCTCTCTCACCAAATAATAAAGGCGGGCTAGTAAACACAGTTAAGTCTTTCCTGAGAGAAGCAAACTTTACCACATATTTCAAAAATGTTTGAGAGTCCTTATATTTTTCCTTCAGAAACAAATTCAGCAATGTTATGATATGCTGTAGTATCTCAAAAGTTGAGCCATTATGCTGTTTAAAAACTGAAGAGAAAAATGTTGTGTGATCTCAAAGTGAAGTAAGATAAACTAAGTTTAAAAAAAAAAGTGAGTATGGGAACAGATCTCATACCATTAAGTTAGAAGAATGCTTGCTTTCTAGCAGACCTTTTCCCAGAGGCTCCGTTTCTCTTCTGGAACTTGATTCAGCTCTCTTCTGTAACCTTAATTTGTTAAGGGGAAACCATTTATTTTATTTATCTCCCCAGGAGGGCAGAGATGGTATCTAGAATTAGTTCACAAAATTCTGATAGCCGATTATATAAATATCTGCATCCCTCCCTTTTCTTGTTTCATTAAAATACCACAGAAATATTGACAATTTTTTTACTGGTGCTGTAGTTTGACTAGTCATTTACATTCTGAATTTGTGTGGTTGCACTGAATTTCATAAAAAGGTATGATTTAACTCCTAGTGAAACTGGGGGTGGTGTTTTCGCTTCAGGAAGGTCTTTATGACCCGGAAAGGTAGGAATGCCAGGCTGTAAGGAATTCTTGGGTATGTAGTTACAGAATTCTGTAAAAATTTTTTTCTGGGAATATTCCCACTGTTTTCAGATTCCAGACATCCCAATTTTCTATACTCATAATAACTGTAGGTAAATTTAATAAAAACTTCAACAACTGTTTCAAAGCTTTCACTTACATGTGAAGACAAAGATTGTTCTTGTCACCTTCTAGAGAAAATTGATTTGTCTGTGGGATTACATCAGACGTCTGGCTTTTTTCTCCCTCACTGTTCTTGGGAAGAAATGCAATTTCAATACCTCTTCTTTCTGGAGGATCAGCAGTGCTTGAAAATCCTGAGCTCTGTCCAAAGTAACCATAAGATAAACACATGTAGGCAGGGTCATTGCACTGTGAGTACAGGACTTGAGCTAGCCAGCATTTTCTGAGTGTCTCTAACTTGGGATTCAGAGAAAAATGTTTTTCGAAAATATTGACTGTGAAAGCATTTGGTAATTACTTATCTGTAGATTTGTAGAAGGCTGTAAGATTTTTTTTGTGTGTGTGTTTATGATCCAGGACAAAATGTTACCATACTTAGGAGTAAACTCAATTTTCTATAGTACAATAATGTTTGGTCTTTTAGTAATTCTGCAGTTTAAGAATACTGGACAAATGAAGTCATATTTCTTCCAACTAAAGGATAGTGATTAATTCCCCAAACCAAAGACAGCTTTGTAAAAGTTAAAGTAGGTGCTCATATTCTTTTACTCTGAAATAAATGGTTTTGAAGCTAGAATTAAGAATATTCAGTGTAGGTGTATTTTTTTATACTTAGGTTTCTGTTATAATTAGTGAAATACTACGAAGTTAAGATTTAATGGAAAAAAACATTTTCTCTGAAGTAACAAGTTCTCTGAAAGCATTATTGCTTTACTAGAGGACAACATACAATAGTACAACCATACTGAGGTTCTTGAGACTTGCATCAGTAAAACAAAAGAACTGTAATCTTTAAATAATAAAACTCACTGAGTTACCTCGCAAAGAGAATATGATGAATGAGCAGATTCATAGGAAGTAGGCAAAGAAGCGAAGCTGCGTTTGCTGTTAGCAGTTTCTTCCTGGATGTCTTCAAGCAGCATGCCAAGTCTAAATATTTCCCCTTCCACCTTTCTAAACGCAATTGCAACACACAGTTAGCGAAACCTGTATAAACTGATACTTTATTTCTTATTAGGACAACCCCAGTGGGCATTGCAGTATGCTTCACATGGCGGGGCGGGAGGCGAGGAAGCGTTCAGAGTCCCTTTTAAGTTCCTGTATTAATCAATTAGATAGTCTAGTTATAACTAGGATATGTAAACCTCAAGATGAATTTTGGACAAATCACTTCTAGCTTACTCCACGTAACATTAAGATGATATTTTCATTTCAGAAAAATTCTAATGGTTAAATGAAGTAATGGTTGTAAGACATTCAAAATATGGAAAATACACTGATGTACTACTTAGCACTTATCTTCTAACCTTTCAGGATCAAACTCTCCAACGTTGATAGACTTGTCCTTGTAGTTCTGCAGCTGTAAATTACGGTGCTCTTTTCTAGCTGTTAAGTAATTCCTTTCCAAGGCATCAAGATGTCTTCTTAATTGATGTAATGCCTTCATCAGTAAGGAATAATTCAATAGCAAGTGTCATTATGATTTATCAAGCCACAGTGATAGCCACCTATGCTATGTAAGCCAGATGCTATTTACAGTGATGTTGGTAAGAATTTTGGTACTGCTCTGAATGGGAACAGGACTGCATCTTGTATGTCTGCCTAGTACTCTGTGCTGCTCTAACATGTACAAGTGAAATATTAAACCATGACATCTGAACTTATACCCTACATGTCAAATTCATAACTTAAATAACAACTTTAGGCCTTTCACTAATAGTTTTGAGTTTTAATCCTTAAAACAAATTTAAGAATTAAGATACCTACTGAACACCTTAATTTTTGCCTCTTAAACTCATAATTTCAGTCTAAAGAATTTAAAAATACTCTTTTTCTGTTTGAGGAAAACATGGAGTACTTTGCCAGAAAATTGTGAGTCTACAGCCATTTAAGGTGCATTTCAGATAACTGAAAATACATAAATTTAATTTACCAGATAGTTGCCTTGTAAAAGGAATGTCTCTTGGGCCATATGCTTGGAGAAGTCTTCCACCTTCAAGACAAATATTAGACTTTAAGGACTTTAAAAACTAATATGCCAAATGAATACAGAATTTAAGCATCAGTACAGAGTTTATATTGAAACAGAGCTCTTTACTTTCTTTAACAGTTGATCTGTCTGATCCTTTAGTATTTGAGACATCTTTTCTCCTAGTGTTAGTTCTGGCAGTAAATTAGAAGGATTGAGACAGTTTGCTTCTACTGCAACAGCTGCTGGTAATGCTGACATTGTTCCACACTGTAATCCTACAAAATACAAGATAAGATCAATCAGTTGGAACTTCTGCTCAGAAGTGCTATCAAATTACATAAGTCATTTGCATAGTTAATATAATTTTATTTACTTGCTTTAGACAAACTGCGTGTAGATTGCATAGGGGTAGGAGCATGTAATGTAAAGACTTCTGAGGATGTCCCAGTGTCTCCTGAGTAAATGGCAATGCTGGCATTTAGAAAATCAGACTGAGGAAGTATCTGTTAAAATGAGAACTTTGGTTATAGAAACTAGGTATAGAACACTTGTGGGCTTAAAAAATTTAGAAAGAAATCAAAATACATAGGATAAGTTATTAATATCAATGAAATGCTTACTATAACAGTACTATATGATTTTCTGTGTTTATCATTTGATATATGTATAGTGTCTCATTTTATAAATACTTAAATACTTCAAGTCTACAATGTGAAAATTTAAAGAGGATTTGTATAAATGGGAGATACAATATGGAGGTGACAATATAGTTTTTGGGAGTATTCATAATCCTAAGGGTAAAGGAGAAGGAATTAAAAGACAATAAAATCTGTTTTGAGAGATTTACCTTAGGATTCAATCTCAGATGGTCAGTATGATTTTGGGTGTCAGCATGGTGTGTCAGCATCTTGTTTGCAGCCAGGAAGTCATAGGGAAAACTATTAGAAGTTGTCACATCTTGAATGATTTACTAAGACAGAAACCTAGGAATGGATTTAAGCACCTGTATAGCTCTGTTAGTGAACACCATGGCAGGGTGTGAAATTGAGAGGTGATTAATTACTAACAAACTTTAAAAGAAATTTACTACAATAGGAGAAACGTTTATTTGACAACACATCCTTTAAAAAGAATTGACTTGTCAATAAATACCAATATAAATACCTGAAGAGTGTGAAGGTCCAAAGAAAAAGGCAAAGATGTCTAACATAAACATAGGCACCGTATAAGAATGTATTTTGAAGAAAAATTTCCAATTTAAAGTACTTTCGGTGAATTTGAATGTTTACATATAATACTATAAATAAGTTTATAGTGAATTTGCTGATGATTTGATAGGATTCTTTATAATTGCAAATGATACTCCAGAGCATCATTAAATATTTGGTAATGAATATAATGAAGTCCTATGAAATTTTATTTGTGAAAGCAGTTGCTGACTACGATACACTCACCAATACCTGTAGTGTGCCTGCATGAACTAGTCATGTTAGATTATACTGGGAACAGAGTATCTTCTTAGAGTAAACCACTCTTTACCACGTATTAAGAATTTCTTAAAGCATCTTAATTACCTCTAGATGTTTCAACAGTTCTGGAATATTAATTTCTTCTTGATTCTTTACTTCAGCAGAATTTAAATAGTTCTTATTTTCTAGAATGTTGTTCACGTTTATTGATTCACTTAACAAAATAGGGAAGGGGTTTGCTCTTTCAGTTGTAGGAACTGCATTAATACTGTCACTTATTTTTGGTAGTTCAACTTCTGAAGCAACTTTGCAGAAATCAGGAAGGCAATAGTGAGCCTGACCTTGGCTGTATTTGAGCTCGTGAGGTGAAACAGTGTTCTTCAGCAGGGTGCTTTCCTCTTTCATGTTTTGAAAGATGTGTGTATCTTCATTCTCATTAATCACATGTGAATTTTCTTGTCTGCACCCACAGTTATCAGTAAAAGAAATATGTTTCTTTGAAACACATGTATTTTCACTTAGCAAATTTTGATTTTTATCACTAATGTTTACTGCCTTGTACTTTTCTAAGTGATATTCTTCCAAGTTAGTTGCCCATTGTTCAAGTGCCAAAGACCATCTGACATGTTCTGAAGGCTCAGGTTTGTTCACAGTGTCATCGATACTTTCGGTAAAGGATGTCTCCGGTATTGTCTCACATTCAATTAACTGGCATGCACTAATTAACTCTCCCTTAGAGAAATGACGCAAAAGGACATTGGACATTTTTGAGTTACTTAGATGTTCTTTGCTATCTGGTTTGCTAAAACTACCAACAGGTAATTCCTTCTTAAAGGATACTTCATTTCCAGGCCTTTCAACTGAAATTCCCGTTGTTCCTATGGCATCTCTGTTTTGACTGGAGAATTCTTCAGGCTGTGGATGAGTTTCATAATTTGCTGTTGCATTTATGTTTTTGTTATCTTCAGAACAGGCTAATTTTAAAATACCAGAAATACCTTTTGTACGAGTACAGTCATTCAAATTGTCTGAATTATTGTATTTCCAGGTTATTCCTATGTTTCCATCATAAGGTAAGTCATCTTGTTCCTCATCAGTTGCATCTGTGATACAGCCCAAGTCATCTGAAACTGAACTGTTCATCTGGGTCTTCACCCAGTCTGATGGTTTGCTCTCTTTTGTTGTCTCCATATCCAGTTTATGTAGAGTAAGAATGCCATTGCTTCTCCAGTTTCGATAGAGCTTGTATTACTGCATGGATCAAAATCTGCAATGTATGAGTAATAATTAGTTTATACTTAAATACATGTAAGAATAAGGTCTATTTGTTTTGTATCTACTGTAGGGTTTGTGTTTTGGTTTTTTTTTTTTTTTTTTTTTTAACCATCCCCAACATCAATGTTTTTTTTTCATATTTACAGTAGTGTTAAGTCTGGATAAACTACTGGAGGAAAGAGAAAGGCACAAATAATAGCAGCACTGGGAAAAGGGGAATTGAGTTTAGTGCCAGCTGTCCTTGCTCATTAATCTCTCTGTAGTATTAAAAAAAAAAAAAAAAAAAAAAAAAACAAAAACAAAAAACCAAACAAACCGAAACACGTGCCAACAGTGGTACTAGAATTCAGCCTTAGTATTAAAAAAAAAAACCCATACAGTTTCTCATCCGTTCTGCAACAGCGAGCAACCATCAACCCTTTCTCAATTTCTTTCTCCCCCCCTTTCATTAGATAAAACGCAATATGTTAATATGATACTGAAGTAACAGACACTCTCGTCAGCCTCCTGCACTACGCTGCTTCCCTTAGGTGCCCTCACTGTAAGCAAAAGCAGCGAACTTACAGCACCAGTTTCCTCTCGGCGCTCGCACCGCGGGGCGGCCGCGCTCCCTCGTTCTTGGGGGAACCGACCTTGGACCGCTTTGCCTCCGCCTCCCGCTCAGAGCCTCGCCCGGCGCCGGGACCAGCTCCCGTTTCCCTCCGCCCGCAACCCGAGCGAGCCCCGCCCCCTGCGGCCGGGGGCGCGGGGGCCCGCCCCTTGCTCCTCCCGCGCGCCCATTGGCCCGTGTGAATGATGCGGCCTTCCGGGGGGCGGGGCGGGGCGCGCGCAGCCGGCAGGGGCCGGCGGCGGAGGAGCCGTTGGCCGCCCCGCCTGAGTGGGCGGGCGGCCCGGCGCGCGGGGATTGGCCGGTTCGAAGAGCGGCTGCGCGTGGGCGGGCACCGCCCCGCGGTCCCCGCTGCGGCGCTCGCTCCGAGGACCCGCCGGCCCCTCAGCCCCGCCGGCCCCTCAGCCCCGCCGGCACCCAGGTGAGGCGCGGCCGCGGGCGGGACGCTCAGCGTTCGCTGCGAAGCTGGCGGCGGTGGCGGGGGGGGAGGTCGCGTCTTGGGCGCAGCGGGGCGCGCTGGCTGCCAGGAAGGGGGGCTGTGGGCGGGCAGCCGCCGTGCCGCCCGGGGGCAGCCCGGCCCGGGGGGGGCCGCCGGGGTCGGGCGGCTGGGAGCGCCGCTTCGGCGGCAGCGCTGGCTCCTCCGGTCCCGGCTTCCCGGCGCTGCAGCGGCCTTCATCGCCTAGCCGTCTCTGAGCGGCCTCAGGGCTTGGCGAGAAAACTTACCGTATAGTCCGCTCGGGAGAAACGCTCTCTGTGTCGGGAGCCCGGTGCTTGACTTGAAGCGGTGCTTCTCTTGGCGGTCGTCGACCTCGCTTGTTTGGGAGCGAAAGCAAGGCACACCTGTCCAGCCAGCCTTTGTTGACTGAATGTCATTGGAAGATCACCCTTGGTTCTCTAAAGCGAATCAATAGCAAACCGGCATTGCATCACATATCTTTCATCAGTTGTATTGTGCTTAACAAGATAGATGTCAACAATACGTACTAAATAAAATTTTAAGTGGGGAAACAAAACAGGCTATTTAATATGGCAGGAACCGAAGGACCAGCAAACATACCGTGAAGAGTGAAGTATACAGGGAACAATCTCTAAGATCTTCCAGAATTTGAGTTAGACACTATGTTGTGGCATATTTAAGCTCAAATTATATCACACCTACTCTTATTTATGCACTGGAATGGAGCCTTTGCTAGTCTAGTTCCTGGCCTTCTTCTTTTGCTTATTCGGATTTTGTATGGAGGAGCATAGTGAATCAGGAATTCTTTATCCCTTGTTTTGACCTGATTGCAAAGACATGCATTGTACCCCACGTTGAAGTTGTGGACTCTCTTCTGCTTCAGAAGCTTTTTCAGCTTGGTGTGCAGTTCCTGTTAGGTTCTTGCTAGCAGACTGCAGGGCGCATGCATCCTGGGTTGCCATGGAGAGATGTGCAACCATCTCAGAATTTAGAAGAACATGCAGAGTCTTTGCATCTGAAAAGGATCAGTTAGGGCATTCTAGTCCCTTCTTAAATTTTGTCTGAAAGCTCAATACCTTTTGTTTAAGTCATAATTTAATGAGAGCTGAAAACGTCAGCAAGAGGTCATCGATACACTCCTAAATTCTTTGCTTATATATTTTTATTGTGTGTTTAAACTAATTTGTAGGCCTGTGCCAGTGTTCCTTCTTACTAGTTCCATTAATGGTTACCTAGACTTCTGAACAGGGGTCATGCATCTCTCTTTGGCGGGAAGGACTTTATACTTTCAATTACTTCCATATAAAGCTGAGACAAAACTTAAGTTAAACTTAAGGTAGCCCTGTTGGACCAGCCTAAACCTATGTGGGTCTTCTCTGTTGCTTTATTTAAAATTCTGTTATTTAAGTGATCTTTTAACTTTTTCAGGCAGCTTAAAACTACTTAGCATTGTGTATTCCTGCTACTCTTGCTGGAAAATTACTTCAAAACTTGATGATTAGATTAAAGTAATTTCGGAAAAGGTATTGATAGGCATTTAACCTTTTTGTTCTTGTGTTCTCAATGTCACTTGGCTGAAATTGTTAATTTTTTTGTTTATTTTATTTTTTTTCTGAGATGTTTAGAGAAAACAAGTCTTTCTCTTAGAATTTCTTTTGGTATTAAGCAAGCCAGTCACTTCTAGTACTAATGCTGAGTAAAAGCGTTTCAAAAAAGATAGAAAATCTGTTTCTTTTGACATGTTGCAGAGAACAACAACACAGCTTTGAAAAGGAGTCTTACCTCTTACAGCTTGTCAGGGTGGGAATTTATTCTTGTTTTGCTACGTTTTTGCTTATTTTGCTGTTTCTAGTATCAATTCTCAGGCTTTTCTTGTCAATGTATGACAGCAGACTACTTTTCAAAAGCGGTGTTCTTCAGGTCCGCATGCACAATATGGTTTGGAAAACAGCTTGGTTCCCCTTTAATTAGGAAGGAAAAGTTTTACTAAGAAATGGGTGTGTTTTCTAAAAATAAATGCTATCTGTCTGTGGTTTTAACTATTGAACATTTGAGGAGTTGTTCTTGTTTTACAGTTTATCTAGATTCTCTGTTTTGCTTAAAACAGGATCATTTTTAGCTTCTCCTAGTTTTCCACTTTTTAAAATTTTAACAGCAAATATATTTGTACTTTTTTCTTTTTGTCCTTCAGTTTTTTTGTATCACTTGTGCAGTCAGTCACTTTCCATAACTGTCATTCCTGCCTACATCTGGTAACTGTGGTCTTGGTTTTAGTAGTCTTTAAGGTTAACATCATAATGAAATTGTTTATATTTTAGAAGTTACTATCGATTTTACGACTTTCTCCACGATTAACCTGTTATTGCTATACTATTCCTGTGAATGAAAGAATAGAGGGATACTAGGTGAAGAACAAAAACCCTTAACTTCTGTTCAGGCATTTAATAGCAAGTCAGCCATACAAATGGTTCTATCAAAGAAGTGAAGTACTATTTTGTGGAAGACCAGAACATTGGGAATGTAAAATACAGGAAAAATAGAAGTGGAAAGGCTGGTAGGTGATGGTCTGAAACTTATGTAGTGTTGAACAGATGATTAATGTCAAGCTGCCTGTTGAGACTCAAATTTGGCAGTGTTTGAAGAGTATGGTTCTTGTTCATATAATAAAACTTTTGTGTGTTATAAACCTTCTACTAATATGAAGGAAAAACTTTCATGCAGCTGAGTTACAGGGAAAATAAACCATACATAATCTACCAAGAAGCTTCTCTAAATCTCTCTTATTTCTTCTCTGTTTCTGTTGAATACGTTTTTTTTCTACCATGCTGGTATGCTGTCAGGAATTTTGTTCAGTGCATGCAGCACTCTGGAGCCTGTGCCTTACATTGGTTTGTTAGAGAGGGTGTGCTTTTGTGACCAATAGTATCTGTGTGATAATGTGTATATATAGTGGATAAATCTATGGGCAATAGGGGCAAAATGGAGCCCAGGTCAGTATTTATCACACAGACTACAAAAAAGAAAAAAAGCATTGACTGGCTTCTGAATAGATTTGCACCTGCGTCCCAAATGTTAGAATAAATACACAAAGCAATTTATGACTTGGCACCTCAACAAATACTATTTTTTTCCTTAAATCTATGTAAGTGATGTGCCATAAAAAAACTGTACCTCTGTCTGAAGGAAGCAAACAATAATAAAAAAACCAAAGTGTCTTCTCACTACAGTATGTATTCATCCTGCACTTTTACAGTTTTTACAAGTTAATACTTAATGTTAATATTTGAGAATTGAGGGGCACAGGTGATACACCAAGCAATGCTGCTGGCAGTAAACTATATTGAATCATTTTAGTTGTGTCATACAGGCTCTAAGGGAGCTACAGCTGCTCCTTACAGTAGTTGTAATGAGTTCTTTATGCTGAACGCCTGCTCAATCTCTGAATAAGCATCACAGTGTGAAATAGGAAATTTGATTTAGCAGCTATATTGCTTCAATTGCTGTTCTGTTTTACTGTCTGTGATTCTAAGGGTTTTTTTTTTTTAAATTTATGAAATCCTAAGATTAATTTTTCCCTCTCTCTGCAAGATGCTTTTGTGATCTATCTGTTGTCTTACTTACCAGGATCTCTTTTTAAGAGGTGTTACAGGCCAAGAAGGAGCTAAGTGGAACGTTTTATTGGAGAGATTTGTGATCAACTTGTTCTATCAACTTAAGTACGAATAGTCAACTTTTTGTGCTAAGTTCTTCCCATCTGCTGTTCTTTCATATCGTATAACATGCTCCATTTCCCAAACTGAAGGTACTTGAGTAAATGTCTTGTTGGCTGGGAGAGGCCAGAGATCTAGTGTATGTTAATTGGCATTATGAGATTGTCCCTAAAAAAAGCAGAAGGAGCATTGTCCAAATTTGCGTTCAGAACTTGGTAACAAAATTCTTACTGATTTTGTGGTAATATGATTTAAACTTACGCTAAGAATAAAAGGATCAGAAGTTATTACTTTGTTGTGAACTGTCATTGAAATCTTTTGTGGCATTTAAGCACTTTAAAATTGCAAATCTCATCTCCAGTTGTGGGTTAGTTGAAAAGAACACAGTACAGTATTGATTTTCAGTCTGTGAATGACAATATGTAAAAACTTAGAACTCATTCTCATAAAAAAATAAAAACGTAGGAATCCTAATACTTTGATATATCAAATACATGAAAAATTGTCAGCTATGCTGATTTTTGTCCTTTTTTTTAAGGTAAAGAGAGGATGTTATTCTACTGTCTTCTTGTATCTGAAATCTTAATTGTATTGTATTTAGAATTAGTTTTCAGTTGCCTGATTAGTTTTATTATGGGGATATTAGTTATTCTGCTGGCACTTAATGTTCTCTTCCTTTCTTATTTTGTCACAGTGTGGGATTGCCTTACTTCAGGATTTAAATAGGTGGCTTACATAAACTATCTGCAGGAATATTCTTATAATAAAAATACTTGTGGTTACTTGTGTTAGCTACACCCAGTTCTTTAGCTTACACACTAGACAGTAATTGTGTACATTAAGTAGTAAGCTCATTTCCAGCTAAATACTGATTATTTTAGAAAAAGGATTTTCTATTCTGGAAAGATTCTCTGTGATAGAGGCACTGAGAGGTCCACCTTTGCATCACTGAACACTGATATTTAATACACTCAGTTATCATTCTAAATTGTTCATTTGTTGTTGGTCTGTGCTATTCTACTTAGTGGAAATATATGTGCTAGCTCTTTGTTTTTGACTACAATAGTTCTAAGACTGTAAGTCACTATATGGCCTGCATCGTTGCCAGATGCCTTAAATATTTGTATTTACAAACTTGTGCTATAGTTTAACTGTGCCTAATAAGGCACCTCTGCATTGCTGAAGCTGATAACGTTGTTCTGCGACTATGACAGTACTCTCAATATGACAGCAATGAGGATATATGCTTTTTGT